TCTATTAGTGGAATTAACAAGTCATGAGAAAGTCTGGGGAATCCCCTAGTTTTAAAGCTGGCATTGCTCCCCATCAAACCCTGATCCCAGGGTAAGATTTTCAGCTTCCATAGGAGGGATAACATTATAACAAGCTGTGAGGGTTGTTCTACAGAGCTTATGTGGCACTTTCTGCCTCCATCCATTCACAGGGTTTTTAAGTTGCTATGCCCCACTCCCTGCCGGTGGCCAGGGGAGACCTGGCAGCCTTGTAGAACAAACTTCCAGAGGCAGTCTACAAGGTAACCAACTTTGATGGCCTGTCATAAGTTTTTCAAGACTGTCAACAGGTATCTTCTGATGGATGGCCATTCTATGTTGCATATTAATTGATTTCCCCCCCTGATGTTGATCTGCATTGATAGTCTGTTTGGAACTTGTGGTTTTATATTATTTTTGTATCGTTTTATGCTGCTGGATCTTGTGGTCATATTTGTAAGCTGCCTTGAGCTAGGAAAGTCAGGGTAAAATTTTTTTAGATAAGCAAGATAATATGTCTGTACATATATCCCATACATTAAAGATGCTCTTTTTGAGAGGAAAAGCAGAAATTTGAAGCAGGCCTTATGAAAGGCTAAGTAAATGTTGCATTGTAGGACAAAGTAAGTGAAATTAAAAAATGGAAGCATTTGAACAGCTTTCATATTATTATAAAAGAAATAAAAGGAACACAATGTTAATGGCAGGAAATGCAACTGGGGAAAATATTAACATACTTCCACACAAATGCTGTTCTGCAGTATACAATAGCAGGAGTAATATATTCAAGACACTTGAGTTGATGGGTTCAGTTGATATTTTATGTTTGTGTGTTTAGCTGGGCTACTTCTTCCCCACTGTAATAATATTTTTTTAAAATCACTTACAGGGATTCAAATGAACTGGGATGTGAAAATGTTTGATTTGTTCCCTTCACATTGTGGTACATCTGATAGCTGGTTTCATGTTGTATCTTTTTCAAGTCAATGCCATATGTATACCTGTAAGAAGTGACAGAATAAAATAAACTAGTGAAAGAAAAACGATAATATGAATCTGCCATGAGAATCTTTTTTTAAAAGAAATCAGAGTCTGATGTAGCAATAGTATGAACTTAGTACGAGGTTAGTCCACCTGGTAGATTTAAATGGCAAAAACACAGGTTTGCTATGTATTTAAAACAAAGGCTGAAGGCCTAAAGGTGCTTTTCTGGGAGTAAGCCTCACTGAATAACATGGGACTTATTTCCACATAGACCTGCTCCTTAAAGAACTTGGAGGGGATGGACAGTGGAGCCAAGGTGCCACGTGTAGTTGTGGAGTCATCATGCTGGGCATGCTCTCTCCCAAAAAATAAAAATAAAACTCTCCTCCTAGAGTTGGCAGCCCTAGGTATAACACATGTTCCACACAGAGAAGATCTCTTGGGCATCTCCAGCTATAATCATCAGGCAGCAAATGTTGTGGAAGACCTTTTTCTACTGATCCCTTAGAGCCCTGTTGCCACCATAGGAGAAAATGCCAGTCTAGATGGACCAGTGGTCTGACTCCATACAAGGCGGATGTGTTCCATGCAGAGCAGTTGCAGTTTAGTGTAATTTCCTTCAATTTTTAGTGGATTAGACGTCTTCCGGTTATTTTAATCTGCAGTTCATTTAAAATATGCAGCAGCAAGGAATATTTATATCCTAACAGTTGAGTGTTAAATATTCCCAAGAAAGTTTATTTATTTATTTTTTGCCAGATGAGACTTTCATCAGGCAGTTCTCCAAAGGAAATACTTATCTCAAATTATTTTAAAATTAACTGCATTTTTATGCAGCAGTCTTTGTACCTATTAGAGACATTGACATAGAGGTCCAGTTAGCTTGCCTGAGGGCCACAATATAACTGTAATTAGTGAAAATGAGCCTTGTTTGCTTCAGAAGCAGCCGGTGCTACCCTGTTTGTTTAAAATGGGGGAGATAAATTACCAGGGCTTGAAATGCTCGTTAAAGATATGCATTATTTTCTCAAACCCAGTGGCCAATGTGAGGATGGCGTGGGGATGGTATAATTTCCTGCGAAGTCCTTCCCATGCTGTGTGCTCACAGGCTCCTTGGAGCTGAGCACCATATAATTGATGTGCAGCCTGCATTGCTGAAGCTTGGACTGCACCATTCTCAGCGTGAGGGAAGATGTAATCTGATCTCCGTGCCGCTAAGGGAGGAATCTATTCAGTCAAGGCTTTGACAGGGCAAAGTCTCCTCCAGTAATCTTCCCCCCTGTTTCATTATTCCCTTAAGTTCTTCTCAGACAAGCTGTATGCATGTATGTGTGCCTGGAGAAGCTGCTTGATACCGAGCTTCGTTCACGTTTGCAGTGGAGTTTGGTCGCTGGTTCTGCTGTCTAATCTTCCTTTTCTGACGTGCCCGAGCATGTCCACATTAGAGTCTGTGACATATCTACCTGAAAAAGGTTTATATTGTCAGAGACTACCAAGCAGCCGGACACACGGGGGCACGGAATCTCTGAAGGGAAAGAATACCGACAACATGGGTTTCTATGGCACTTTAAAAATGATTTTTTACAAAGTAAGTAGCCTGGATTTTCTTTTTCCATGTATGTGTAAATGTATGTGTATATATGTGATGAGGATGGAAAAATCTGTATCATCAGAGATGGCTGCAGTATCTCACCCCCACCTCTTTTTGGTGGGTGGCTGGATGCTTAACATTCTATACGCTGAATAAAGGAAAATAATGAAAAGGCTCAATGAAATGCGAAATCCTTTTATTTTAGGAATCTGCATGAGAAACCAAAGGCAGTTCAGACTATTTACCTTTCGCTGAACTGGCTCTTCACATCCATTTGAGTACTTTATGCTTGTTTTTAAGTAAGGGCTTCCTTCTATATGTTTGTAGTATCTGCCAGGGTATTTTATTTTCATTTTGTTAGTTCAGATGGCCTTGGATACAAATAGGATAGATGTTTACATGTAATGGTTATATCGCAGAGGCATTTTAAAGATGGCATGTAATACTTTAGTAACATATTTCCGTTATCAATGCAGAATACAGCCTGCATTATCTGTTATTTCAGAAAATTGATAGTTTCCTCCTACAGGATTCTAGTGCTTGCTTAGGTATTTATGAAACAAGTTTTAGCTGCACAAAAATCCCTTAAAATGTTGACATTTACATTAGATCAGTCTGTGGATATGAACTTCTTTTTAGTACTATAACTGCTAATATTATTGTGGCATTAGTTTGATGTAGTGCTAAGTACTAAACATCTGCATATATCACAAACCAGACTAAAATCTATGGAAAAAGTTTCCTACAAATGTTGAGAAAACAGGAGTCTGGTAATTTTCTTAGGCAATTATAGAGGCTGCCTGTGGTTTCGAATGTATCCTATTCTTTTTTTTTTTTAATGAAGTTACTCTTAAAGTGGGAGTTACAATTCTAATTCCTAAAATTTGTCATATGAATAAATAATGTCATAGATGGGAAAAAGGAAAATAACAGTATTTCTTGATTCACCCTTGGGGGAAATCAATTTAATTTTGAGACATTAAAATTTTCTAACACATACATCTCTTTCTAAAGCTGTCAGCTTATTTATAGCAGGAAGATAGTCTACGATATATTAATTTGCCTTTTGTAAGTATGGAGAGGGCTTTCCTGGAATTTTCCTGTACATGGGTAAAAAGATGGTCTCCATTTATTCTGAGCCTTGCTTTGAAAAGAGAGGTTGTTAATGGAGAAGGTTGTTTCTTGCTTTGGGCTTTCTGGTTCTGTATGGTAGCATGCTGTGTTTTGTCCCATGTGAGCCATGGGCACACAAATAAGGTTGACTGCAAGAGAAGGCTTCTTCCTGACTGCAAAAGTGAAATGAATAAGCAAAATAATTTACAAGGGCATGTTGTCCAGAATAATAATGCATGAACAATAAGTAAGTGAAGTGTTGGGAAGCAATAAGATTATAGTGCATCTTTCAGTGTTACTAAGATACAAAACTTAATAAGTATGTTGTCTGGAAAAAGGGAATAAAATGTCAGCATTTGAAGAACAGCGTATATTTGGTATGAGTTGGTGACAAATCGGTGTAAATTGTTTTGAACCATTCCTCTCTGGGTTTTTTCAGTGCTTAAATTAAAAAAGACATTTAAACCTGGATTGAAGTTCATGTAGAATCTACATTCTTTAGCCATTGTGGTGGTTGATCTTTTACTGTTTTGTCTTGCCAAGCCTAAAAAGTTTATATTCCGCATATACTTGCTTAGATGCCTTTTTAGGTATAGACTATCTTCAGTTTGTATGTGTAGTTGACGCTTACTTGATACATAACCCTTGATGACTGTTACCAGATTTGATTGATTCAACATGCCCTCTATTGTGTATCAATAGATATCATCATTATTATTTATTAAAATGAATCTGTGCTTGGTAATTCAGCACTGTGTATGTGTACATGTACATGTGTACACACACACACCTTTTATGGCAGTGGTCCTAAAGCCATTCTCATTAATATAGTCTTTAAAATATTAAGCAATTTGTTAAGCAAATGTTAAGCTTCTGTGCTCATTTTTTGACCTACAGTTTTAAGTGATTATCAAAGTGTTTTTGATTTTGTTTTCTTGCTTGTGTTTTTCTTTTTACTTCAGAAGATCATCCCAAAGAATGTGCAAAGTTAACTTTTGAAAGCTTATCTAACTGAATTATTAAATAATTAATTGAAATTAATATATGTGTGGAATCAAATCTTAACATAGCAGGAAATCCTCTAGTTACCAAGTTATTATAGTTACTGGGTCATTGGAAGAGTTTCTGCTTTGGATAATGGAAGTTTTATCTTAGTATGCTACTTTGAAATGTATTTGTTATTAAAACAAAATATTAAGGCACAGGCAAAAAAAAAATCACCACCCTACTTATTATAGGCCTAATTTATGCTGGCAAGCTAACAAAAACTTCTGTTGTGTTTTACCACTTTCAGATGAAGAGAAAGTTGGACCATGGCTCCGAGGTCCGTTCTTTCTCACTTGGAAAGAAACCCTGTAAAGTCTCAGAATATACAAGGTAAATTCATTGTATATCACTGCATCCATTACTTCATCTTCCCCTCTGTCTGTTTACACCATAAAGCAGAACTGAGGGAATACTTGCAGTAAAACATGTAAACAACTTGCTTGAAATGACTAAACTTTTAAAATTAAAAATACTGAGTATTGCAAAAGCCTTTCTTCTGGATTGGTAATGTATAATGAATATTATTCTTTGTTTTCAGAGAACTTTAATAGCAATGCCCCTCTAAGCCATTTTGTAAATAGGCTGTGTACTAATTCACTGTAATAGTTAGAATATTGGAACACCACTGTCTTTGATATTAATCACAGCATTGTTGCATGCAACTGTGTGTGATGCTTTCTTACATTGAATAATCATTGCTTTACAACATGAAGCTGCATTTCTAAATTAAAGGGATGTATGTTCATCATGAGGCAAACCAGCCAATTTAGCAACCCTTTAATTTCCTTGGTTTAGGAATTTCATATTAGGGATGTGTACAATTCAGTACTTGGTGCAGTTGCCATAACAACTAGATGGAGCTTTCCTGCATTTCGTCATGTTCAAATCTACATCACTGTAAAACTTTCTTACTCTAGCAGATTGCTTTCTGTAGGCTGATTATCAATTATGTAAGATTAAATTTCAGTTATCTTTTTAGTTCCTTATGATTTGAAATATGTTCAGTTACATAGGTTACTCAGGTTTATACCTCCATCCCTTGTAACAGTTAAAAAGTTAGAAATAATGCTATGTACATTATTGTTTAATTATAAGAGTTGGCATTAAAAGAAAAGTATCCTTTAGACTATCACATTTCCCTCTGATTAGTGTACTGAAACCATTTTTGAGGTTTCCAAGTTCTGCCAAAAAGCCTTCCTTGGAAATCTTGTAAGACAGTGTTTTAAGGCAAGGTCAATATGTACCTTTATTGGTTTGATATTTGAAGGGAGGGTATTACCAGGGTATTACACTGACGTGTTGTGGAGTTCATTTGACATAAATATCCTGAGATAGTAGATCTAAAATGACTTCAGCCATGAACTTTACTCAAAATACATTAAAATATCTGAACAGTTCTGTGTTTGACCTATATAAGGGTATTCATTAAGCTATATTTTAAACTGTGTAAAACTGATTTATCTTGCCTCCTTTTGTATTATCCATATTATAAGAAGTTGCCATGGGTGGTAGGTTTCAGAAATCTGATTTTGCGCTGTAAAGACTGCTGTAAAATAAAAATTCTTATATAAAAAGAGCACCTTTGTTGCATATATAAAGCTCTTTATACTGTCAGACCACCGGACCAAAGCTAATTGTATGGCCTACTATGGTACTGGGCAGCAACTCTTAAGCGTATCAGAGGTGTTGCCTAGCCCTGTCCTATCTCTGTGTCTTGTGATCTTCCTAACTGGAGATGCTATGGACTGAACTGGGACAAAGGAAATCATCCATCTTCGTTACCCTTCAATATTAAAGTTCTGACTTGCACACAGCTGTTAGGAGAACCTATGGAGCAACCTAAACAAAAACAGCAGCCATGTATCAATAGTAGCATTAAAACTAATTTAGTTACAAATTAAGGCCATATAATAATCCTGTGTGTGCAGTGAAATGTGTAATAAAAGCAAATGTCTCAGTTGGCTAGATTTATTCTGCTCCAAAGCAAAGTGTTTAAATGTCTAGAATTTTACATGTCTGGCGATAAATACCATGCATGGGCTTGCTATAAATGAAAGACCCTAGGATTTTAGCCAAAGACTTCTACTGGTCAGACACTTTAACTAAGCATTTTACATGATGAAAGATGACAGGAGCAAAATGAGACGGCAAGGTCATATACTTTGCTTGGCCTCTACTTTTAATAGTCTACCACAGAGGCTGGAATTATTTTAAAATGAAATACCTTTCTTATTCTACTTTATAATTTTTAAAAATAGTCCAAATAGGGGTAGACTTGGTTGGAAAAGCAGTGATTTAAATAAAATGAAATTTAATTTGAGTTTAGATGACAGCCTCTATATGAAAAAGAATTACCCTCCCGCCCCAAAAAACAGAATTCTGTATAGAGATATTCAATTTCTAAAAGGCTAAAAATCCAGTAGATCTATTACCAACAGACTACCATCAACTGAAAAGCACCTTGTGGTTGTAGTTTCCTAAGCCAATGTGACTATAGACTGGGTTTCTTAATGGGAAGCTCCTATGTCACATGGCAAATAACTTTGTCATGGGAGTCCGCCCTTTGCACCAAAAGTAACTCATGGGATACCAGCCTATGGCTTGGATCCAGTGAAGGATCTCAGGGAGGAGGATAATTTTTGCTGATTCTCCTCACCAGCTGCAGACCTCCAACTCCTATCCTCATGCTTTTAATGGGGGTCCTCTGTCCCCCGTGAGCAACACTCCAAATAGTGTTTGGGGCTGCATGGCACTATGTGGCAAGAAATCACCACTGAATCCTATAGGTCCTATATTAGTACCCTCTGTTGGTCATTTAGTGCAACTACAGCTAGTTTCTATGCTTGTACACTGTATGCCTTATGATAACCTCTTGCATCTACCACATACACACATGAAAATGAAAAAGAGTGAGTTTGGAAAAGGGATGAAATTCAATAAGATTATACATATCATGATAAATTTGCTTGCATGTGTTGCATTTGATGTATATAGTTCTGGTTTATAAGATATGTGCCTATGATCAAGCGCAAGGCAATAAAGAATGGGGAAGTCTCCCAAGCATCCAAGTCTCTCCAGAATACTATAATCTCTACAAGGAGGAGCAGGCCAATTTCTCTGTCCATTTTCCTTTTGTTCCCCCTTCAGATGATACCTGACTGGTCGCCTCCTAGAAGACCATGAGGATACGATTTTTATACTAGGATAGATTTTGTTTTGAGAGGTAGTTTTCTGCCTACCTTTCTCTGATATACAAAAGCCTGCACTTAGTTTGTGAGGGTGACACACACGTCAACAACATACTAGAGTTTACTAGAGTTAAATATTTCTGTAAACTGAACTGGTGGTCTTTTCTGCCGTAGTACTACTGGGCTTGTGCCTTGCTCAGCAACGCCTACTACTTTTGGAGACCTGAGAGCAGCCAATGGTCAAGGACAGCAACGGCGCAGAATTACATCCATACAGCCACCAGCAGGACTTCAGGAATGGCTGAAAATGTTTCAGGTAAACAGCATTTAGTCAACTTCCTGCGATAATTCCAAACTGAAATGTAACCGCTATGGGTGTGCAAGATTCCCCCCCCCCCAGATTCGGGTGTATTGAATCCCAAAAATATTGGTATTTCCCAGTATTCCCAAATCCCAGTACTGGTATGATATTTGGATTCGGTAATATTCGGGAACCCTGAATTTGGGGAGCTCATTATATCCAATGGGCACCATTCAAGTCAATGGCAAATCTATCCTGGGGTATATTCAGTGGTCTGGGAGGGAGGTAGAGGTAGAGGCACCAAATTTGCAGCAAAGCTGCTAGAGCATCTACTCAAAAGAACCCCCAAGTTTAAAAAAGATTGGACCAGGGGGTTTAATTCTATGGGCACCCAAAGAAGGTGCCTCCATCCTCCATTGTTTCCAATGGGGGGGGGGAATAGCCAGACAGTACAAGCCCAGCAGGATGTTCCAGAGAATCTCTGCAGTAGAAAGTGAGGGGGGGGCATTTTTGCAAGGCCAGCAGCAGAACCAGTGCAATGTGGCCAGCAGAACCAGTTTTACTGTGGCAGTACCAAAACCCAACAGGACTAATGTCAAATCTGAGAATCTCTAAAGCAGAAACCCGGGGGGGGGGGGGATGGGGGGTATTTCTGCAAGGCTGGCAGAACCAGTACAATGTAGTAGGGCCTAGTAGCAGAACCCAGTGCCAACCTACTAGTGCCCAGCAGCAGAACCCCATGCCATTGTGGCAAATATCAGCTCAACAGGACTGATGTTAAGCACAAAATCACAATTTGCGCGAGGGGGAGGTGGGGGGGGTTGCAAGGACAGCAGAACCAGTGCAGTAGTGCCGAGCAGGACAACCCAGTGCCAATGTGGCAGCAGTGCAAACCCAACAGAACTAACCAATGTCGCACCAGAGAATCCCAGTAGGGTTTTTGGCAAAAGCAAGAGCAGTAAAAGCCCAGCAAAACACTCACAAGTGTAGGGTGGGCAGGCACTTTTGCTAGCCCACCTGAACCAAGGCCAACCCAATACAGTGAAGCCAAGTAATATTTTGTTTTCTTCCGAAGCCAAGGGCAAACCCAGAGAAACCTTATACGACATTTCCCCAGGGAAGGCCTCAGAAAGTGAGAGGGAGGGAGTTGTGTCCACCCTGGTCTTCCTCTCTCAGCAGGAGTAGTACATACCAACCATCACTGCTTCAGTAGAGGAACCTCAGCCTAGGTGCTGTAGCTGCCCTTCATCACAGACTCTCCCTTTCCCACCTCCCACCCCTGCAATGTTTCACAGCAAATTAACTTCATTATTTATGGTGCTCCCGTGGGTTCTGCTGGTTTCTGTTTGACACACAGATCTCACTATTCTACTCTACTCCTTTCATCTTCATCAAGATAAAGAACAGTTTTTGTGCTGCTGTTTTAATTTCAGCATGCGGTTTTGGTTTGGGGTGGCTGGTGACTTGGTGAGTGAATTTGTGAGCACACCACCTTCAACATCACCCAGTGCTGCACTCCTACCAGGGTTCTGTAGAGGTATTTTGGTGCAGGTAGATTCAGAATAGCAATGGGGAGATTGGTGGCACATTTCTGTGCCAATCAAACTGGTTAATGGCTCTGCTACTTCTCTCTAGTCTCATTTTAATTTTGGGAAGTGCATTTCGTCCCCACTTCCCATGGATTGAGAGAGGATGCATGTCCAAGTATATTCTCATTTTGGTCACCCTCAAAGTCTAGAACCAGGTAGCCAAACAGTGGCAAGTTGACCTTCAGGAAGACCAACTGCTCAACTATCCAGGGGTGCAAGCATGAGCAATGTGAGCTGACAATGTTGCCTGCATGGGGAAAAAAACCACTTTTCACTTCATCAGAAATCATGAGAGGAGCCTCTGGGCCAAAGCAGAGAGGTCCAGCCAGACCACCTCTTTGATGGCCCAGTAGCTCAGCGGACTGGTGGCCTGTGACCCATACAGCTCCACAAGGTACTCCATCAGAATTGCAGCCTCCATGTCCTCCTGTCTCATATGCCCACCGCTCCCAGAGGGGCCAAGTATCCACCTGATTAAGTGCCATCTCACAGGTCATCATGGAGGACTCTACCTAGTGGGGGAGATGGCATGAACAGCAGTAGAGCTGCTTTCACCCTCCTCTTCCTCAGCTCGTGCCAACATGCCCCTCTTAATCTGCATGTGCTCAGCTTGTTGGGAGAGCTCTTCTCCAGCAAATGAGCTTATCGGCCCATTTCATGATCTTGCCTTTGATGTGCAGATTACACATGATCGCCAGCATGTAGACCTTCTACTGTGTGAGAGGCTGAAAGTGGGCCTTAAGTCCACCTTGCAGCCTTTACACCAGCGTGTGCACTGCTAGAACTACATCTGCATGTCCTGCAGCTGTCTCCAAAAAGGGAGGCCAAGTCCTCATGAGCCATTTGGAGCATGGAGGTGACCAAAGCCAGACTTGCCATGTCAGATGAAAGCAGCTCTGTGTAGCTCTTAAAGGGCCTAAGAACTTCCACAGCCTGAGAGTTGGTCAACCACTCTTCCTGGGTGAGCCAGCTCTCTTCCTGAGTTACCTCGGTCTCAGAGATCAGGGCAGTCAGGCCTCTCTTCTGCTCCACCGTACACTCAAGCATGGCACAGATGGAGTTCCAGTGAGTGCTCACATCACCAATCAGGTGGTGCAACAGCATGTCTGTCAGTGTCTGCTTCTCGTGCAGCAGATGGATGTCCTTCACTCTGGAAGAGAAATGACCTGTGATATACCTGCATTTCTGCTGGAGTTGCCTGAACTCATGGGTCTCAGCATCCAAACAGGGATTTTCTGCAGAACCCAGCCTCAAGGCATCCTTAACCACCAGGTGGAGAAGGTGGGCCACACAGTAAATGTGCCTGAGGTCCAATGCCTGTGCCACTGCCCTCATGTTTATGTCTCCATTGGTCACCATGAAGCCCATGGAGAGGTTCTTGCCTATCCATGCCACTGTTTTCTATGGTGGTTGATATGTTGTCCACCATGTGTGCCCCACTGAGTACCTCAGCATGGAGCAGAGCCTGGCAATAGCCAGCTCAGTGGCCCTCACCATGCCTAACACTAGTTTTCCCACCCCACCTACAACGTCACTGGTTTGCCACCAGTGCACAATCAGCGACGTATGTGTTGTGCACCTGAGGGGAGGTCCATATGTTGGACAAGAAGTGCACAATTATCCCACGAATGTGAAATAACTGTGACTTCATGTGGTCTCTGGCAGCCCTGTACAAATAGGGCAACATGGCTCTGCTCAGCATGCTGTGAGCAGGGACAGTGTATCAGGGACAGGCATCCTGGAGCAGCCTGCAGAAAGCAACATCTTCGACCACGGAGAAGGGCAGCCATCTATAGCAACCATTTCAGCAATGGGGTGAGTGACCCTCTTACTTGCTTGCTGTTTTCCCCACCCCCAGACACTCTAGTGCCAGCCTCACCAAGCACGTCTGTCAGAGATGCTTGGTTGTCCCTTCACTACTGTGGAATGTTCAGGGACAGCACTGGAAGTGGTCACAAGACAGCTTACCTCCTGACTGGCTGGTGGTGCCGTTTGGGCACTCCAGCAGCAGCCTCTCTCCTCCCAAAAGAAGGACCACCTGGTGGTACTTCTTCAGATGGTTCCACAATCTGGTAGTCGAGAGATGATTGTGGTCTCTCCCTCGACTGATTCAGCCCCTACACAGCTGGCACTGTGTGAAGCGGGGATCTTCCATCAGCTGGAAATGATTCCAGGCTTCAGAGGTGTAGGGGCACTCATGCTGACCAGCAGTTGCAGGGACCCCTGGAACCACCTCTTTTGAGGACCTTGGGGTAGACACACCATGTCTTGGGGGGGGACAGGAAGAGATGCCTGAGAGGGAAGGGGTTTAGATGGCAGCACCATGGGAAGCACATCGATTTCTTGTACCTCCAGCTTCACCAAAAGAGCCAGTTTGGTGTAGTGGTTAAGTGTGCAAACTCTAATCTGGGAGAACCAGGTTTGATTCCCACTCCTCCACTTGCAGCTGCTGGATGACCTTGGGCAAGCCATAGTTCTTTCAGAGCCGTTCTGAAAGAGCAGTTCTTAAAAGATCTCTCTCAACCCCACCTACCTCACAAGGGTGTCTGTTGTGGGGAGGGGAAGGGAAAGGAGTTTGTAAGCTGCTCTGAGACTCTCAGTGAAGGGTGGGATATAAATCCAATCTCCTCCTCCTCCTCCTCCTCCTCAGAAGGCTTCCTGGATTTAGAAGGAACCAGAGCAGTGGCATCCAGCGTCTCCTGTAGCTCCTCCAGAAACCTCTGGGTCCCTGGGGTCAGTGCCAGAGCTGGAGCATTCTCGTCCGCAAAGCTCAGCCCAAACAATAGCTCAGGCAGCTCCCCCTCTTTCTGCTGAGCCTTAGCAACAGCAGCTGGAGGAGGGACTGCTTGAGCAGCAGACTCCTGCCCAGTGCCAGCACTTGCAGGCACCTCTGCAAGGGGCGTCCCAACAGCAGCCTCAATGAACAAAGCCTTGCGTGGCTTCTTCATTGCACCACTCCGGCCAGAGGTCAGAGTGGTGGAATTGCCTGGAGTATTCCTCCACACAGGTGGGGGGGGGAACCATAGCCCTCCCCTCTCCTCCACCCCACTACTCTTCTCCTTAGTGTTGCCCCCCAGTGCTCCACTGTGTTCCCTTTCTGCTGCTCATTGTTACCCCAGGCCAAACGTTTTCTAAATAGCAACTACCTGCTCTGCAACCTGAACCTAACAATCTGACACCTTTTTATGAACCCTCCCACCCCAAAACTAGGTTTTTGTCTTTCAAAAAAGCCTAACCTACCCTTGCTTCAGTTTTTGTTTTCTTTATTTTTTTTTTGTTTTGTTTTTGGGTTGTTGTTTTTAGTTTTTGAGAACTAGTGACTTCTTATACTGAAACCTGACTATGGTTTAATAAACTGTCTTTGAGATGGAATAGCAAACCTTTTAAAAAGTTTAAGGCTCTTTATTAAACTTCTCCTGACTAGAT